CGTGGTGATCCTGTGGGGATCAGGCCGAACGCCGTGTTTGTCTACGAAATGACCAAGAACTAGAGTTTCACGATCACCAAAAGGCACTTTTTGGAATTGAAGGTAAGTGCTGCTTTCTCAAGGCATGTGAGAACGACATGAAGTCGGCGATTGTGTTCTTCAAACGTGAGGCCAAATATCACAACGTCATCAAGATAGCTAAGACATACTTTTCATTTTGAGCTGCGGAGAAGTGTGTCCATAAAGCGCTCAAACGTGGCTAGAGCGTTACATAGACCAAACGACATCACGTTGAATTCAAATAAACCATCTGGAGTAATAAAAGCTGTTATTGCTTTATCAGCAGAATGCATGGGGATTTGCCAATATACAGATCTTAAGTCTTCCCATCCTTCTTTTTTACAAGCATAACTGGTGTGTCCCAGGGGCTAGACGACTTTTGTACAACTTTCTTAGACATAATTTCTTCCACTTTCTCAGCAATAACTTTACGCTCCGACGGAGATACTCTGTATGGTCTCTGACGAATGGGATGGGCGGAACCAGTATAAATCATATGACGAGTGCGTGAAATTGTTGCGGAAATTCTGTGGCAATTGAGTGCGAAATCAAAAACGGATGCATGGTTGGAGAGGATCCGAACTAACGCTTGTCTCTTCTCTGGCGATAACGACTTATTCACCACATTCATGAGTATGTCATCACTAGGACGAGCCACATCAGACGCAGTTTCGTTTTTCCTGTAGTTGCTAATGATTGTAATGTTAACGTTGTTCCTGACATCGAATTCAAACACGGCAAGCCTCATTCCACCAGGCAATACCATCGGCTGAAAAGAGGAGTTGACCACCCACCAAGGCTTTGCCACTACTTGCAGAAATCATGCAATGCGGTACAACCAGATCCTTCTTCGCATAGCTCAGCTGGATTGGGTGAACTATAACGTCGACGTTATTTCCTGCAATACCACAAACTTCAACAGGCACTTGAACTATCGACTGGGCTGAGAAAACTATGTCATCAGCGACTGCAATAGTCTGTTTGCATCGCGCGGGCTCTTCACAAAACCCAGACAGTAAAACGTCACCAGCTGCGCCATCCACAGTGGCTCCACATTCTTTGAGAAAGTCTATCTCCAGGATAACGTCATTAGCAGAATTCAGGAGAACTGCGAATTCTTCCATAAACAATTTAGCGCCTAAAGTAACAGTTGCAGTACAATCTCCCACTGGGCGCAACGGTTCTCAACTCACTGCAGGAAACGTTGTCTGGCTTCCCCAAGAGAACATAACTTTCTTACCAAGACGAGTCTTAAAATTGCTGCTAATGACGGAAACAGTTGCTCTCGTGTCGACTAACGTGGACGTGGGGACACCATCTAAAAGAACACTGACTCTATTTTGTAGCACGGAAACTGGCGAAGGCATATCTGTACGCAGTGAAAAATGTCCAGTGACCTCACCTCCATCGGCCGCGACGTCTAGTTTCTCGGTGGAGAAGGAGAAGTGAGGCGCCGAAGACCTGGTGACGGTGACCGATGGTGGCGGGTGGAGGCTGGTGGCGTCACACTCCGCCCAAAAGCCGGCGAATCACTGCAGAAGGTCTCTTGGGAGTTGGTTCGGTAGTAGATGTTGAGTGGCCAGCGATAGCTCTCCGAGTACTTGCGCGCCGTGAGGATGCCGGAGGTCGTTGATACTGCGACAGAGGTGACCGACGCCGCTGTGAGCAGAAGCGGGCTATATGTCCACGAACGCCTCAGTAAAAGCAAACAGGTGTTTCATGCCCCACTCGCTGCTGAAGATGGTCAGCGGGACAATCTTGCCACGCTGCCCTATCGGAAGGTGACCTTTGCACAGAGTCGTTTCGCGGATCAGACATATAGGCACGACGACGCGACTGTACCAGCGTCCTTGAGTCGACGAAGCTCGCAGCGTTGATGGACGCAGGCGGGGGGCTGCATGGCGTGTAAGAACCGTGGCCATGTGCTATCGACGGTGCAGCAGCGGCCTACCGATCAAGTTCCTCGCGCCCTATTTCTGGTATTGTTGACGCCAGATCGCTGGGTGGAGGGACCAAGTCGATGCTTGCGACCGTTGCGACGATAAAGAAATAAATAGATGTATTTCAGGCTATACCGCTATATTATGCTATTTATTTCATGCTATAAGGTGTCAGTCATTAACTATTCTTGGACTGTACTTTCTCTTTGTTCATACAAAATTGCTGTTTAACGTTTTACCACATTCCTCTGTAATGTATGTTGACAGCTGAGAGTACTAAAAATAAACAAACAATCGGAAAATTCCACATATCTTGAGAATCGACGTTACGCGAAGCAGGTGGAGTGAAAGTGACTGTGCTGTAAGTTTTATTAGGCGAAACGTTACAAAATGACGCTAAATGTATGTACGAATGTTGTACACAAGGACACATGGCGAACAGTTGCATGTTTACTGTTGCGTAACGATGCCAATAGCAACATGGGTATGACCAACAGAAATGCTAAGCTAATAAGTAGCGTCTGTTTCAGCGAGGATGGCGGCTCTGTAGACACTGCTAGATAAATGAGCTTCAGAGGTAGGCGCTTCTAAAATTGTCGTCAACCCAACGTGGTGGCTGTATAATAGGAGTACGTGTATACTGTTTATACAAAATTGGATAGCCAGAACTGCAACCACAATTGACGTGCCACGAACACTACAGTCTACTTGAAAAGCACTTTCGAGACCTAACATGGCTCTATGGTAGAATATTTGAGGGCCACGCAGAATACTGAGGTTAGATTCCTACTGAGACCATGATGGGTGTTATATGCATTCTTTGAGTCAACATCGCCGATGCCAGGCTTTATGGGCGAAGCTCCTCAGGGCCGACATAGATGGCGTCCATCACAACCAACAAAACTCAAACCAACACTGAACACCTGCACAACAAAAATTATGCACCATGATGGGATGTGAAGCAGCAGCGGTGTGCACGCCGTTGACATGGCTAAAACGGGCGTCGACCCTGGTGCTAGAAGAGCGGTTTGAAGCAAAACTTGGTGTAGCCTTTACTCGAGTAACGTTTCTTGGAAACAAAAAAAAACATGGGAGGCACGTTGGGTTTAGTGTAAGTTTCATAGCAGATAAACGAGCCGAAAAAGTGTTTCTACTCGACGTGCGGTCAAACGTTGCGGGTGGTGAAGAGGGTGAAGTGTGAGAGAAATGTGTTGCGAGGGGGTGGAGGAGCAACACCACCTAGTTGTGTTGGGAGGAGTAGGCAGCTGCTGCGGGTGAGACAGAAAGTGACTTCAACGCACAGCTGCGACTTGACCTACTTTTCATCGTTCCAGCAACTGCGGTGGAGGAACGCAGCGTGGCGCGTTAGCACGGAGACACGGACGGACAGCATTACACAAGCTAGTCAAAGAGCTGCCTCGCATATAAGAAACAAAAACATGAGTAAACAACTGGCTTTATGTGTAGTCAACTATGCTACACCACAATGCATAATCACTTGCGTCGTCCATCTGTCCATTCGTGCAATCGTCTATCCATCCGTCCACCCGACCACGCATTCATTCATCCATCTGTTCTTCCACCCACCTGCCCTTTTGTCCATCAGTGAGTTGTCCCGTACGTTCAGCCATCCGTGCATACGCCAACCTGTCCATCCTTCCATGCATGCAACCACAGGTCCGTGACTTCAGCGTAGATATTATGGACCTCAGAACCTATAGCTTCGCCCGCTTGTCATCTTTCACTTTAAGGAGATGCACCAATTTTTTGACGCTCTCGAATTGAAATCCCCAATGTCTGTACACGATATTTTTGGTTGATATAAACTGCCAATCAACGTCAGCGCATGACGCTTAACTACGTGTGATTTTAACCCGACGTGACAGCTGTGTCGTAGGAGTACAAAAGTAACGTTTATAAAATTGGATAGCAACCGCTATATCTCCAATGGATACTTCATGAACATTACGGTTTATTTTAAAAGCAGTTGCGAGATCAGACGTAGCTTTACGGTAGAATACTTGATGGCCACGCCGAATACAGAGATTTAATTCCTGCTGGGTCCCTGACATTTTTTACAACGAAAGTTTTTACCCATTTTTTACCCCAACATGGGGCGTGAATTTTTCTCGAGAACACCGTGCACAAGCTTATGGAGATCCTGTGCAGCAGTATTTATAACAGACGCGCGGGGAGGGTTTGGGGAGAGGAATCCTGGAATATGCCGAATGCATGCATTGTGAATAATCCAACTGCATATAACCAGTCTGACTCTCACCTCAGCAGCGACATACGAGAACTAGCTTCCTCGGTTTGCACCAGAAAAAGGTATACACACACAAACTTCCCTCAGACGTAGGCAGCTTGATAGATAGATAGATACGCGGATAAACGCCAAAAGTGCTTGCAGTATGCATCATATTGGTTCACATTAATTAAATAAATAAAAATATATTCTAAAGTCCAACGTGACGCCAATGTTCAGCTACTCTTTAAGCACAAGTGTCTGTTATCGCTTTTTAGGGCAATCATTTTTCTATCAAACAAAATGTTCTCTTAAAAGTAATTGACTGGCCAATTTGGCTCTTTCTTGGCAATGCCAAGCTTCAACCTTGCTTTGGCTACTGTAAGCCGCATATTATATTGTCACTATAGTAAAGCAAGCATTTACATAGCTCCTTATAAACATAAACTTTTATTCTGTAATAAGGAATGCTGAAGTGTTTTTGAACCATACGCTCAAGTACAGCGTTCGAGCATCTTTGGACTCACTGATCCCACGTGGAACAGAAAACGACTGCATTTCGAAATAGCGTTTCGTTTGAGATTTTACTCATTGCTACTCAGTGTACTTCGCAACCATACAATTAGTGACGAAGAAATTACGGGACTGGCGTCAGAGTGTCCTATACAAGCACCCGGTTCGACTACAGATTTCCTGGACGGTCAATTTAGGAGAATTAAAATGAGGCTAAACTTGACAAGGTGGCCAATACATACCAGCTTCGTCCTTGCTGATCAGTTTTGACACGTTGGACAAAATGGCGACGGGTGTGACGCTGCTCAGGGACCCAATGGCGCAACCTGCGAAACCAATACAGTAAACGCTTGTTTGGAGAAAGCGGGAGTGGCAGAACTGTTCGAGCGATGGGAAGTAACTAAAAACAACTGAACAAGTGTGTGTTTCAACAGTGAATCTTCATTTCTTGAGGAAAATGACTTCGTTTGCCGTCAGATGGCTTTGACGACCAAGTATTATGAATAAGTTAGCTTAGTTTATGAGATCGCATTTCATTTTGAACGTACCTAAAGGATCGGTGCCAACAAATCTGCAAATAAATATCGTCACTTTTCGATGCGTGCTTCATATTTATTTACTTTTATAATACGCAAAAAAGCAGTGACAGTGCTGCGTACGCGGATATAGGCGAAAATTCTGATTTGTTTTCTTTTCACTCCCACTGCATTCGTATCTGCTAGGTGATGCCACATTTCCAGCTTGGGCATGTAAACCACGGTTCGTGCAGGTTTCAAAAGCTAAAATTCAAGGAAGGACATTTAGGGACTTTCGAAGACTCTGTCCCGTGTTTTTGCAAGGACTGAAAGCGGCATGCAATGTTGGAATTGCTCATTATTTTTTTAAATGTATAAATTTATTGTTTTTACCATGAATAAATTGATATCTCGTTATAACAAAATCATTTAGTTTTATAACCTTCTCAAGATCACCGAGCAAATTTTACGCCGCCAATGCAATTGGGCTTTCTTCATTACAGTGTTGAATTTCAATAAATATATTCAAGAAGTTCCAGTGCAGTGTTACTTCAATTATTAAAACTAAATCGATGTTTATCCTAATATTGTTTATAATGACTAGCGTGGATGACTTTGCAAGATTTTAACCATAAAAAAAAAGCCGACACACAATGCACTCTTGCAACAGCAGTTGATATTGAAGCCTGACGATGTTTACCAAATAATTTGAAACAATATGTGTGATCCTATTTCACTCATATAAACATAAATACAAATGCATAGGAAGGATGCACTTGACATCTGCGAATAGCGGCACACGTTTAGAAAGTCTAATGCAGTTTGGAAGGGAAACACAGGATGTCAACAGGACCGCACTAAGTATTGTGCTTAAGAGGTTGCAGAAGTATCCGAGCACAGATTTTGCTTTCGCGACAGGCCTGTCTAGACATGGCAGACCCGGAGTTGACAGCGACATACCGAGTAAAATGCATATCAGATGCCGAGTTATATGATTGATCGGCTCGGTTAGCGCCCGTATTTCTTAGTAATGTTCTCATGTTGCTTAAATTGAGCATTTGTGCGGTTACCTTGGATAGATGCGGTGCTGGAGCTCTGCGCAACAGAGAGAAGATCTTTATGACAGTGATGTGCACTTACATTTTAAATATACACCTATGTGTTTGTGTGGCTTCTAACACGATTTTTGCTGCCGTACACAGGAAGCTGTGATTTCCTAGTCAGTAAAAGATTACACATTAGTACCAAACTATTTTTTCTCGTCTCATTCAAGCCACAACAAAAGCGCAGTGGTAGACAATTTTTCATAAAACATTTGGGCACCGCCATCTTGGGCTGTTAAACCGGTGTTTCTTGTTCATGCATGGTGGGTCCTGTCGATCACGACATGAACTATTAGGGCATAATGCATTATAAGCACCATCACAACAATACTCATGAGAATGCGTTCACAGTAACTGTTCATTTGCTTGCCGAAGATAGAAAACACAAAGGTTCACAGCCATAAATCACGGAACTCAGACCCCCCCCCCCCCCCCTAAAAAACTCTATAACCACGCCCACGCTGAAGTTACTATGCTGTCTCCGTCCGATTGGGACTGGCGGTGAAAAACTTGCTGGCGCTGGACCTCTGAAGCCATCGTCCATGCACCATAGTAAAAAAAAAAAAAAACACGTCAGGTGAAAACGTAAGGTTACAGTGAAAACTAGAAGAGCGGCCTTTCAGAGCCTTTTTTAAATGCTCTTTTGTGGACCCACTACACTATAAATAATCATAATTTTTTTGCAGTACGCTAGCATTCACTATGCTATCTTTCGTCATTTTTCGTAGATTGGTCGTATCCGCTACACACTTGCTAGAAATTTACTGCAACTTTTTAGGCAGTGGCTGACGACACTAAAGAATTGTGCCTAAAGTGGGTATGCGCCAGAGATAACAGGTGATGAAGAAATAGTTTTCTGATGGAACATGTCTAAGAAGGCTTTTTGCGAAAGGACATTTTGGACCAAGCAGTTTTTGCGACGGTTCTGTCGTCAAAATAGGTTCACTAACCATATTACAGTGGAATTGCAGATCTATATTTTTCGCAGCCACAGACATATCATACCTTTCTTCATAACTTTCCCCGGATATTATATCACTGCAAGAAACCTGGCTTTCAACCAGCCAAAAGTTTTACCTAAAAAAATTATCGGCTATTTCAATTGGACCGACCTAGCAGAGGTGGTAGGCTTGCTGTCTTGATAGCAACTAAGTTTAGCCACAAAGCTACAATCTCTTATCGTTGTGTGATTCTAGATTGTGAAATTTTGATAGTAGACATAATATTACCCGACGGTTCTCCCCTTTCGTTTGTAAATGCGTATTTACCAGCCGGGTGCAAGACACACGAAGTCTAGACGATATGTTCTTTGCCTGCAGAAAGGATATATTAATCACTGGAGACTTCAATTCACATCATGTGGCTTGGGGTTTTAAAACAGATTTAAGCGGAAAATGCTTGTGGGATTGGGCTATTGACAAGAATTTATCTTGTTTAAATTCGCAATCTGCCACTTTTGTCCAAGGTCTCCCTAAACCTGTAATTGACTTAACATTTTCAAGCTCCTCTCTAAATATATGTTCGTGGAAAACTTTAGGCTGTGCTACTAACAGTGACCACTTGCCTGTTAGTTTTGTACTGAACTTTCCGAGAAAACATGTCGCTGAAAAGGCCCACTCATTCCTCAACCATAGAAAATTAGAAAAAGACTTGAGGGCTACTTTTGATCACCGCAAGAACATACAAGGTGACATTAGGGCTATGAGTCTGTGTGCAGTGTTAAAAAGATCAGTAAAAGACGCAACCTTTAAATTAGACTCGGCCACAAGAGGTTCTTTTAGTCCATGGTGGACTGAAGAGTGCATGAGGGGCTATAGAAAACGAAAAGCTGCATGGACACAACTGCTGGTGAACCAATGTCCAAAAAATTGGTGTGATTATTAATTCGCAGATACAGACTTCAAACGCACAGTAAGTACAGCAAAAGATGGTTATAATATGAAACAACATGATTATCTTTCTAGGGCTAAAAACAAAAAAAGCGCTCTTCAAAATTTTAAGATCTCAAAAGATGTTACCACCCACTGAAAATATTGACTCTTCTGTTCTTCCCCCCCGTGAGCTCTCTGATTTAGTAAAAAATATTGCGAACGGCCTGCAAGATAGATTTATGTCAACTCTACAACTTCACATTGTGAACCCAATGGCAGGCGAGGATTTCGAGGAGGTTACATTAGATGAGCTGGCAGACATAATAAGGCGCTTATCTTCTTCAGCACCTGTACTAGACAGGGTAACAAATGCAATAATAAAAGTAATGTTCAAGATTTGTCCAACTGAAGTACTTAATCTGGTGAATTTTTCTTTGACAAAAACTTGGATACCCGTGGAATGGAAGCTGTCTAAAGTGATTCCACTTCTTAAAACGCAGAAAAAAGGATTCGCCTTGGACAATGTAAGGCCGATATCACTCACGTCAAATTTGGTTAAGCTAATTGAAAGAGTTTTGAATGCCCGGGCAATGAAATATATTAATAATAACGCAATATTAAACCCCAATCAAATTGGTTTTAGATCCGGTAGTTCAATATGGTGTGCGCATATTGATTCAGAGAGTCGCATACAACTGGCTCGGCGTCGGCGCCAATACTGTGTTTTAGTTACTCTAGATTTGGCTAAGGCGTACGATAGGGTTGAGCATTAAATTTTATGAAAACAGGTGGAATATCACCACTTTCCCAACTACATCACTGCGTGGGTGTCGGAGTTTTTAAGAGGTAGAGAATATTACTGCTTTAAAGATGGGTACTCGTCGAATAGATATAAGCAGACACGTGGCGTACCACAGGGGGCTGTCCGGTCGCCAATTTTATTTATCATCTCCTTAAGCTCTATTCCAACAACTAAGGATATTCAGTTATATGTGTACGCGGACAATATTGCTTTCTTTGCAAGTAATACCGACCTTCAATCCCTATACCACAGTCTACAAAATTATCTAAATATCATAGAAAGATGGCTTGAAAATATTCATATGACCCTGAACGTAAAGAAAAGTGTGCTTCTTGCATTCTCTTTTCTGCAGCCTATCAACATCTCGTTAATGTACAGTAACGAGCTCATTCCGCCGGCGAATTCCCTTAAATATTTGGGCATCCTATATAATGACACATTAAATTAGAGAAGTCACATTGATGATGTGTACTCCAAGGCAACACAGGCCATGGGGTTGCTACGGAAGCTCGCAAACCGTAAAGCGGGTTTAAGAAGAGATGTGCTAATAATGATATATAAACTTTATGTGTGGCCCATCATGGAATCCAGATGTGTATTATTTTCTGGCAGCGCAGCTTATAAAATGAGACCCCTAATACTGCTGGAAAGAGAAGCGTTACGTTTGTGTCTGGGTCTACCGAAATTTGTTGCAAATATCGTGTTGTATGTGGAAGCTCGCCTGCCTTCTCTGCTAAATAGGTTTAAAATTCTTACTGTGCAAGAATTGTTAAAGATATACAGATCCCACCAAAGACTCTCATTTTACGCTTTCATTCAAGAACCGGCTTTATTTTTCGAAACCCATTGGTCACGACTACACACCCCGCAAATAGTGTTTGCACAAGCGCTACTACAGCAACTGATTGTAAAAATTAAACATATTGGTCCAATACACAACCTTAAGTCAATGCTTAGCATACAATTTTATGATATATTTCCTCATGACGCGAAACAATTGACACATAGGTATTTAAATGACCAGTTAGCAGATTA